TTAAATTAAAAAAATTATCTTCTTTAAAAAATAACAAACTAATAATTAATTAAAAATTCTAAAATAAAAAATAATAATTACTTTAAAATAAAAAAATCCGTTATCAACTATTTTAATAATTAAATTTAAATAAAAATTTAACTGTTACAGGTGCATTAACAAATTGAATTGTAACCATCGCCCTAGTTGATTCCGTTGAGGCCCGGCCCATTTTATCTTCCATTAGGACAACATCACATATTCACATTGACAAGGCCAAAAGCCACCAAGGTTGTGGGCTGAATAGTGCGTCCAGTTTACAGAGGACAAGATGGGCCCTGCACTCCTTGAAATTTCCAATTAGCCAAGAAATGTAGCAAGCCACACAAAACAAGTGGGTCGTTGGTTGGGGCCTTGAGGGGGGGGGGGTGCTGGTGTGGGGAGGGATTCAACTAAATGCGGTGAATGAGCCATGATTGATTACATTACCCTCATGCCGACCAAAAAACAAAAGGAATAAAGCAGAAACATACCTGCACATGATTTCAGCTGCAAAATTCCACGAAATAATACTGGCATGCATGGTTCAAGAAGTCAAAAAAGCAGGCAAAAAAAATAATTAAATAAAAGAAGAAAAAGAAAAGAAAAGAAAAAGATGTTACATCACATCCCTTTTGCTTTGTTATTGAGAAAGTCTCAAGCTTTTTTAGGTTTTACTGAAAAAAGATGGCCGACAAGCCGACTACTGGATGTACTACTCCTTCTGCGCTTTTAATTTAATAAAATTCGATTTTTTTTTTTGAACATGAAAATTCGATTTTATTTACGTATGTGTCTTATGTAAATTATTAATAATTAACTTTATAGTTTAATGATTGAGATGATAATAATGTTATATTTAATAATAATTATATTTATACAAGACCAAATAATCCCTTATTTAATAATAAAAAATATCAAATTATTAGTTTGAGAAAAAAATTCAATTTACTTTAAATAAAATTTTAAATTTAAGTTTTTCAAATAAAATAACAAAGGTTAGAAGAGTTTTTCTTACAAAATCCAAGATGATTGCTTCTGAATATTGAAGAATTAGTATAAAAATAAAGTTACTTACTACACTTAATATTCAATTATCTTTATTTTATAATTTAAAATAATATAAACAGTAAAAGAACGCATTTTGTCAATAACATGAGAATACAAATCACATGCTAATAGTGGTTAGACATGTGAAACACAAGCATGCTGGAAATATATATATATATATATAGGAGATATAAATGTGTTCGATGTATCAGATCAATCTTAATCCAAATTATCCAAATCATTAATCAAATCCGAATAATTAATTAAACAAAGAGGCTAAATTAAAAAATTTCCTACTGCAATTTTGGTCAGTGAAAATGCAGGGAATGTGCAGAACATGATGTACATTTCATACTGCTCCACTGTCTCTCCTTTGTCACATGCATTCTCTCTCTATCTCTTTCCTTGCAAATTCATTCTCTCTCCCCCTTTCCATGTGCATTCCCATGTGCTCTCTTTCCCTTCTCTTCCTTCCATTGGGACTTTGGTGGTCCATATCATCTTCACATGCACCCTATAGGGAAGCCACACCCCCTCTACGGTCAAGCCTCATGGCTACTCTTTTTCTTTTTGTCCATCTGACCCATTTGCCCTCTCCTCAATTTTATATGGAATAACATTGTGTTTTAGACCAAAAAGGGATTTATGCCTTTTGACTTTGCTTGATTTAATTAGTTTAGGATCAAACAACTGTTCCCTTTTTCATTTTTATGTGAAACAATTTACGTGTAAGAGAATTCTTGAGTTTTAACTTTTTCAAATCTGAACAAGCTGCATTCCATCCTTTTAGGAGATGCTTTTAGAATTTTTTTAATTTTTTTTCAAGTTTAGATTTTGTTCGGAAGTGATGTATTGTCTTGCAAGGGCATTTTCGAATAAAATGCTGTGAGAAATATGTATTTGTGTGACACTCTCAAATGAAACTTTTTCACGTAAGATATATTAAAAAGTGTTTTTTACTTATATGACAGTTGTGGTCACGTTTCTCATTGAGAAGTGAAAGCATCTTGATTTTATCTTTAAGTCGAGTTTCATGCTCAACATTTCCCAATCTCCTTAGTGTACATATTAATACCATCAACATAATTCCTATTTAAAAAAAAAAAAAGTACCAAAAAGTAATTGGGCATTTGGGCTGGCCAATAAATACATGCTTCTTCGGCACATGACATTATCATCCGAGGGCATTTCCGGAAACAAAAGAAAAACAAAACGTTCCCCAGCTTCACGTGCCGTTACAGAGACAGGCAGGCTTTCGCTGGCGGGCGAAGACATTTCCTCCCATCAGTTCGGCAACTTGTTCCCGCTTTTATGTTTTCAACTGACCCACGAATTTGGTATTCATTCCCACTGAAATTACAACTTTGCCATCAAATTCACTGGCAAAAAACATTTATTCATTATTTAATCCTCTGTCTAGGCCCTGCTACTGTTTGTGCTGCACACATATTATTTATGTCCTTCATAAAAGAGCAGTCGCTGTTGAATGATCTGGATTCTGGACCATTTCCTAGCTCCTGCCTCCTGAGAAAATTATGTTACAAAATTGGAGGGCTCCTCTCTTCCCCACCCAATCTTTTTTTTTTTTTTTTCATGTTCAAAAACAACTTTGAGGGGAAATTGCCATGTGCCATTGGTCTCCAAACCCAAAAAATGGTTTTCCTTTTCTTTTGAATGATATATTGGGGAAGCCATATATTTGGGTTCAATGCCATCCGTCTTCATGGATATTGGAAAATCAGTTTTACCATTTTGATTTGGTTCAAAAGAGTGATAAGTACAACATGAAAATGTATTTTATACTAGCATTATTTGTGTGCATATGCACTAAAACTCTAATCTAAGGTCTTGATTGACAAAAATAAAAGGAAATGAAATAAAAGGAATTAAACAAAACAATTTCCCTCTGAACTATAGACCTTATAGCCATTTGGTAAAGGTCCAACTTTCCAACGTTGGTGTTAGGTGTTTAATTCCCCATCACCAAAATTGTAGTGGTTCAAAAAAAAAAAAAAATTTGTAGCGATTTGAGTAGTTACAAGTATTTTAAATTAATTTGTATTTATCTCAGCATTAAATTCTTTTTAAATTAATTTCAAAATTAAATTTCTATTAAATATTATTCTAAAAACTTAAATTTGATCTTAACTCATAAGTCGTGAGTTACTTTACTAATGCATCTAACTTTTAATTTGTCGTACCTTACCTCTACTAATGTCATTTAGAGCACGTTTTGGACTTTGAATTGAAGATATTTAAATATCCAAGGCCTCGTGACACGATTAAAATTTTTTTCAAAAGCCATATAATGGCAATCCCGTAATAACAATCAGTTCAAATGGCATTTTATCAATTCTTCATTACATAAACCCCGTTACCCGTTCACATAGTACCTCACCAAGTTACCCGAAAAATTCCACTCCACCACTCCCTTATTCCTCTCGAATGAGAACCCAGAAGAACACCAAAACTCTGCTGCGGAGATCACAAGGCAGAGGAAAAAGAAGAGGGAGATCGATATTATCCAGAAAACGAGTTCATGCGCGTGGCTGTGGCGTCATGAGGACAACCGTCGTCAATCCGTTGCGCCGCTGCGTCAAGGTAGCGGACAAGCTGGAAGCTCTCAAGAATCTCATTCCGTCGCCCGCCGGAGAGATATCAAAACCCGACCAATTGTTCAAAGAAACCGCAGATTACATCATTCTTTTGAGGACGCAAGTGCTGATTCTGCAAAAGCTAATCGAGTTTTACGGATCTAGTGAGAAACAGAACTCCGCGTCATAATTGCATTTTAAATTTTTGTTTAATTGAAAACAAAATAAAAATTAATTAGATTTTAAGTAGCTAGGTGTTTCTAGATATTTTCCGTGAATTTTGTTTGGCTCTGGAAAAGTAAAATGGAGAGGAAAATTTTTTTTGCATCTTAAATGCACAAGCATTTTTGTTCCAGAAATTTTCTCTCCTTTTTTTCCAGGTACAATTTGGGTAGGGAATAGGGAATTTTTAGCATGCTAGTGCCATGATTCGAACCTTATATATTGTTAAGACATTAGGCACACCTAATAATTAATCTTAATAACTGACGGCCTAGTGTTTACTGTTGCTTTAATTAATTAGATTTATTGTTTGTTTGTAGATTATTACAATTTCTCGATGAAAATGTGGAATTGTGAAGAATTAATCCCTGTTCTTATTTTGCATTAGGATTTAAAATCTGAATGTAATTTTTTTTAATTAAATATGAAAATCCGTTGCCAACTGCAAACAATAAGGTGAAACTTATTTTAGGGAAACTTTGAACACTTTAAAATGATGCGATCATCTTCATTTTCTGAGAAACTGACGAGGATATTAAGTGCAAAAGCATGGGAAATGAAGACTATAAAATTGAAAGAAAAACATTGTATTATAATTTAGAGAGTTACATAGAGCAGCTTTTACATAGGCTCTACAATAGATAGATGTAGAAATAAATTAATTACATTGTAATGTCTTAAATACAATCTATTTATTAATATCATAATTAAATATATTATTGGATCAATCACTCGGGTAACATAAATGAATCACTTTATTCCTTAACAAAGTAAACCAAAACACTATTAACTTTGCCTAAGACTTCACCCATTCAACGAAAACTCTTGAAAATCTTGTTAGAGGAACCACCTTCCTTGATGTTGGTCCTAACTTTTTCCTTTAGTTCTAGAGCCCTTGCTTTTATATTTTCATCGCCTAATGGTTTCTCCATCTTGCTCTTGATCTCTTCTTGTCGAATGATCCCACTTTCATTTTTCTCCAATTACAATCCCACTTTCCAAATCTCACAAATGTAACTCTCGTTCATGAATTGGTTGGTGAAGTAAGGCCAACAAAGGGAGGGAACTCTATTGCTTACGCCTTCTAAGGTTGAATTGCAGCCATTATGGCTTAGGAAGCAAGTAATGGAAGGATAACTTAGAACTACTCGTTGTGGTGCTCAACCCACCATTTAACTGTGATTTGCTATGCTGGCTTGAAACCCTTTTGGGTATGCTTCATCTTTTGCCTCTGTTATATTTGGTCTCACAACCCATTAGAATGGTTTGTTGGAGTGTTGAAGCTCCAATGCCAATTCCTAGAATTGTGTCTGATCAAGAACAATGAAGCTACCGAATGCAACATACACAATTGAGCATGGTGGTTGTTGGTCAAGCCATTTCAAACAAGAACTATCCTCTGGCTAGAAATTTATAGTCAAAGTTTCAACTCCCATGTATGTTGAAAACGAGCTAGTGGGTAGGACCTTTGGGGCCATGGTGGCTAATGCTTTGGCCTCCAGTTCATATGCGGAATTGGAATGCAGCCACTCTGCTTTCTCTATAGCTCGGATGTTCCTCTAGAAGAGGTTAAATTAAATCTTTTGGGTTGTGAAGCCCTCGATGCATACCCATGAAAAATGTAATGGCTTAATGGTAGGAGTTTCCAAGGACAATTGAATCATCTCATGCTTAAGTGGGGTGCCTACAAAGAAAATTTCAAAAATTATTTGAGGAAATCTTGAAAAATATGCTTTAAGATTCCTAAAATCTCACTGTTTTCATCAACAACTCCACTATCAAGTATCATTGGGATGGTAAACATTAAGGCTAAAGATAATGTGGATGCAAGGAATAGAGCTGCTACTTTATTCTCAACTTTGCTGCCATTTCTAACAGCCACCCACGGACATGTCAATTAGTATGCACGTAACTTCATCACCATTTGAACTATTTATCTCATTTATAAGTTGTTTTAGCTCCATGGGTATAAATTGGTAGATAGATTCAAATGATCTCTCTGTTTGACTCCTATTATCACCCACACCCATCCCATCTGGAAGTGAGACAAAGCGAATTGAACCGTCTACACTTACCTGGCTTCCAAATGCATTCATGATTCGTTGATGTGAAAATTTAGTGTTCACAAAGGTGATTTTGATGCCACATTTGACCACCAGTTGTGCGAGCTCAAAGAGAGGCCTCACATGAACTTGAGCTAGATAAGGTATAACCAAAATGTGTGAATTGCCGATTTTGCTGCTATCAAGTTTGCCTTCTAAACTCAAGCTGACTTTACTTTATAGTTCATATTAGTCCACCACTCTTCCATACTTATATTGCTGAATGAATTCTCCCTCAGATGAAATTTGTGGTTGATCAACATTGACGAAATGACTAAAAAAGTGCATTTTTTATAGTTAAGGGATCAAAAAATGCATAAAAAAGTTAAGAGATGAAAATTATGCAAATCTTAAAGTTGAGAGACCAAAATTGACATTTAACCTATTAGAAAAAAACTAAGACTTGTGATAAAAATAAAAATTTTTAAAGCTGAAAGTGCCTAGAGTGTTGGGACCACAACATAAGTGTCGATACTTATGTTTAGATCAATCAACACCAACTTTGGAATGGCTTAGATCCTCTTTGGTGTGGTTGGAGTTTTTTATGAAAGTCCTGTTGAAAAAAAAAATTATTATAAAAGTGTTGTTTTCAAGAAACTAAAAGTGTTCGGTAAATTTTTTGTGGAAGTACTTATAAAGTGAAAAGTTATTCGGTAAATTTTTTTTGTAAGAGATTTTTTAATATTGAAATGATTAAAAAGAATATTTTCTTTAAAAAAGCATTGTTTTTTTTTTTTGATATTTTAATAGAGTTTTAACTCTTTTTTAATTTAATTATGTTAAAATTGATTATTACAAAGAAAATTTTTTATTTATAAAATATAACTATTAGTAATTAATAATTTTATA